GGTTTAGTGTTTAGGGTTTCAGGTTTAGGGTTTCAGGTTTAGGATTTAGGGTTTCAGGTTTAGGGTTTAGGGTTATTTCAGGTGTCGAATCTTGCTCCTTGAGCATCCCAAGGTTGGAGCCTGACCCAGAAAAAGCATAGAAGCCCGATAGAGTATAGTGTGATGAGGATCCTAAGGATGATTAAGATGATGATGAACATGTTTCGGATTAGATCTCCTAAATGCCCCATCTTAGAAACTGTATAGTAGCCTTTCTAGTAATTTGCAGGGGACCCTGACAGGAACCCACTACATGAACCCTTGAAGGAACCTTCCGCTAGAGCCTGGCTTTACTGAAAGTCGATGCCGTGCTGAAAGGCTTTAAGTCGTACCACTCCAGTGTCGACAGCAGGTCTTGTCACTTGACACTACGCATACGAGTTTGAAATGAGCTCCCTCCAACCTTCGATTTCACAATACGAGACTTACCTACAGTCTCCATTGTAGTCCCTTTTCTTGGTTTAACCTACTATATATTGCGGATTTTAGAAGGTATCCCCAAAAAGGAACTACAATGGAGACTATAGGTAGGCAAGCAACCCCAGCCCCAACAGTTCCTAGTTGAAGAAGCCCGAAGAAGTTGTATTCGGATCGAAAATGCAGGGATGTCACAACCACTGCATCCATTAGGGTTTAGGGTTTAGGGTTTAGGCGGTTTGTGCCAGCCATGATGTTACCACACAGCAGCGGCCTCCGTGGCCCCTGAGGCATCTTGCCCAGGATTCGATTTCAGGACAATCTCGACGCTCCAAAACCTCAAAAGGCACAGCCTAGCCTAAAATTCCGGATGCGAAACCAGACCAAGCGAAGCCGTTGAAGAACAGAACAAAGGTGGGCAAAGGGGTCCTGAAGTACCTGTTCGACGCGTTGCAGAGGCTGGCGCCAGGATTAGGCTTCACTATACCCTCTTCTTCGGGTCAGCTGCTCTAGTACATGTTTGTCTTTGTTTCGAAGAGCCATCAATCGAGCCTTTGGCTCGTGTCGCTGTTATCTTCGTGGTTAAAGGACTTCTGATTGAAAGAGGCTCTTATAACTCGCTAGTGAGAGGCCCGAATGCTAAGGGGGGCTTGCTCAGGCCCCTTTGTCCTCGAGCGCTTCTCTTTGTTATATAGTGCACTGGCAAAGAAAGTTGGGCTTTGCAGTGCCACGACTAGTTTCATTTAATGTTGTAGGGGATTTCTGCTTCGGAGTCAGTCCATCGCAATCTGGCGGGAGGTCTGAACATTCGGTAATAACACGCGCTTAGCCTCACAGTTCTTGTATAAGCATACAGGCTATTATACCCAGCAGCCTTATTCTAATTACACGGCTCTATCTTACTTGGGTGTTTCCAGAACACAGGAGCTAAGCCCAAAACTCTAGAACCCTACCCTAAACCCTAAACCCCATAAGCCCTAAACCCTAAACTCCAGAACCCTAAACCCTAAACCCTAAACCCTAAACCCTAAATTTTAGAGGCCTTCGGCCTAAAATTATTCCCCCCCCCCCCCCCCCCCTAA